TTTCTTCCCCAGTGCTGGGCCTGGTGCTCGTGCAGCTGAGGAGTGAATCAAATCTGGGAACTCTGGAACTGTCTGCTTTTGATTTTATTGTGTTAGCTTCCAGCCAGATCCATTTCCCAAGGCAGCTCACCATGCACATTTATGATCACTAAGCTAGCAGGCAAAAGTAATGGCATGTAAAAGGAGGGTGAAATATCTCTTTGGGCACCAGTCTAGTCTTACATTGGATTGTGGAACACAACTTGACAAATGTAAAATAATTTTTTTAAAAATCAAGCTAATTGCAAATCACCTGTTCATTCCGGAAGGCGTGAAGGAGAGCATTGGCATCTTCAGCAGTCAGGGGGAAYGAGAGCCGTGGGCCATAATAGGAGTCTGGAACATCTATCTTCTTTTCAAATTCTTTTAAACATAAACCTTCATCCACCACCTGAGGAGCACTAGGGCTGGTAAAAATTTGAGAAACTGGAACAAGAGGGAAGAAAAACAAAAGGTAGAAACTGCACCAGTCCACCAGAGAACTGTAAGAGCATGGCCAGAACCATCACTGTTTAACTGCTGCAGTATTACAGTGGCCAACTCCTGTCTCCTACAGTGAAAAAGCTTCAGGTCTGCCCAGATTGTTTGACAAACCAACCAACCAATCAACCAAAATCAAGAAAAAAACTCCAAACCAAGCAAAAAAAAACAGGCAAAAATCTTCCAACTGCTGGTAGCTGTGGTCAGGGTACAAAACATTCTGCACTGAAGTTGTGGAGCAATGAGAACCATCACCAAGCTTCCTTCTCCTTCCCCCTGGTATAAGGTGACACAAAAGTCATGGTTGATCATCAAATAACCATCATCTCCTTGAAGTTCAATAAGACACTTCTAATACAAGTTTTGCAGAGTCACTTCTATTGTTTATATTTTCTATGTAACAGTTTTTGGCTAAATACCAGCAGGTCAGTGATTTTTTTAAAAGTCACCTGTAATAGCCTRTTTATTCATAGTGGATTGGAAACTACTCTTTTCTGATACTGCTAGCATATAATGCCATTTGGTTGGCTGCCATAAAACCATTGGATCAAACAAACAAAAACAGAGTGGTGAAAGTAGAGCATAGCTTCTAATTTTCCTGGAACATGGAGAAAGCAGGAACACTGCTAATTGCTTCAATACAATATTTTTCTTAACATAACCTTGAAATATAACTTACTGATCAGCACATTTCAGTGTTTTCTTCTTGCAGATTGTCTTTATCATATATTATTCTATAAGAGAGAGAGAGCCAGGCCCTAAACAAAAGTGTTCTAATAACTGCTCTTGTGAGATGATTGTTGTAAACACTTTTTGCTGGGCTACAGATAAATTTTCAGTAACCCTGATTTTCTGCAGCTGCAAATAAAAATGTATTATTTATTACTGAAGGAATACCTGTAGCTGTGACTCAAAATTCACGATAGCCAAAACGAGCATGTGGCCTCAAAAATGATGAGATTCATAAAGGGCAACTTGTCTTGCAACTGGGCAAAATCCATATTAAAGAAATAAATAGATAAAAACATAATCTGGATTTTAAAAAGTCCCTTTTTACTGTGAGTGCTGTGGCTGTGAGCTGATTAGCATATTCAGTGCTAATGCAATGTTATACTCAGCCATATAAATGGATTAAGGAATCAAGTAACAGCAAGGTGCTTAGGATTCACCATTTCCACCAAGTCCATTTGGATTTGCAGTCTTCTGTCGCTGCTGGCCAAACAGCGACAGAAAAGAATAGATACAAAACACACAAAAGTGGGTGAAAAAAACAGAAAGAAAGAAGGATTTTATTGTGGGACAAGCTTCTTTTATCTACTTTAACAATCAAAGTACACATTTGTATCAAACATACATTAGTCAAAAAAATAGCTGTTTAATTAATAATCAAAACATAATTAGTAAGTTTACAAAAACTACAATATTAGTAATACTTATAATTTTTAACTATTTACGTTATCAATTCTACATTCTAATCTACTTTTCTCAAAAATACAACATTCTTCCTCCATATAAACAGTCAACACTCCTTTTCTTTTCTCAAACTTTAATCATACACAATAATTACCTAAGTTTCAAAATCAAAATCTGTGGGGCCCCATTCCCCCACAGTCTTCCACCACAGTTCCAGCTTTGCCTGGCTGGACACCRGAATGCTGCCATGGACTGAGATTGTGGATTCCCACATAGTGATCAGCCTATGTTTGCACCAATTCTTGTTCCAGCTCCAGCAGCAGGTCTCCAGAAGAGCATCTCCCTTTTTGCCCCCCTCCCAGGCAGTGGGCAATGGCAGAGCACAGAGCAGCTCCTCAGACCACCCCAATTCCYCATTTCCTGCCTGTTCTACCYAGCTCTCCTCATCTGACATGACTCCTTCACAATCAAGGCTCTTCTGAGCGTTTCAATCCAGGCAGACACTGCCCATGCCTGCTCCTATCCTGCCTTCCCTTCCTGCATGCAGCAGCCCATCCCTCACTTTACCTCTGAACATGAACTTCCATTTCACACACTCACTTCCATTYTGGCCTGTGCCCAGGCTGGGAAACCCAATTTCCTTCCCTGTAGGGCACATCTCTGCCAAGGACACCCCATTTTCCACTTCTGGATGAGCTGTCAAAAGCCAGTCACAGTCATTACAGTCACAGTGTGTTTTTTCTCCTCAGGCAGTCTTTCAGCTGGATTTTAAGGCTTCTTCCTGCACAGCATGACTGTCCCATCTCTGAGGAGACAGSAATGGTGACCAAATGCAGCCTGGGAGCCACCACGCTGACCAACATTAGCCCAGCCCACATGCCCCACGCAGGACTAATTCTGAAGGATTTAGCACCCTCACACATTCAGTTACCCCTCACACATCACATAGCTACAGCTAGCAGTTCTAGTCTAAGTGTCAAGGCTCTCTCAGTTCAGATTAAAAGACAGGGACAAGAAGTCTTGGCAAGCCTGGTTCAGGCACATGAGTCAAAACAGAGCAA